AAAAAAAAAAAGGGGGGAAAAAAAAAAAAAAAAAAAAAGGGGGGAAAAAAAAAAAAAAAAAGGACAAAGAATGATGGGGGGCATGTCAAAAGGATACAGTAACCAGCCTGAAAAGACTCCCATTGGCCAAATCTGGAACAATTTGAGCAGTAATAGATTAAAGCTCAACGATTAAAACAGGAATCCAAAATCCATACTGATATAAGTAAATAAATGAATACATAGATATAAGGAGGAGAATGGAAAGCTCTACTTTGCAGTAGAATGCCAACTAATAAACTTGCAGGGAAGGAGACAATTAGAAAGCCATAATTTAGGAACCAACATAATAGTTGACTCAGACAAGAATCATTGGTAGATGCAAAAACAAGTTGGTGTTAGTTTGATGAGAAATAGGATATTAGTGTAGTCTCAAAAAAAAACCTTCCCTCAAATATATATTCATTACTTTATAGTGGAAAAAAGACAGACACCATCTAACCAAGTGATAGTAGTTAACATCACTGGTAATGGGACCAATAAACATGATGTGTCTCCTGACATGATACATTGAGAAAGAAACCAGATCAGTTCTGTGGTTATTCCTGCCAAAAATGCATAACCAGAATTTAATCATGAAAAAACACTGAAGAAACCCAAATAGAGAAATATTCTTAACAGATAAGTAAGTGGTCTGAACTCCTCAAAAATGTTAAGGTCATGAAAGATAAGGAAAGATTCAGAGTTCCAAACTGAAGGAGACTAAAATGACAAAATGCAATGTGTGATCCTGGATTGGATCCTAGACCAGAAAGGAAAAAAGATAAAAAAAGGAAGTTTTTCTTATATTTGATTGTTTTGTTTTTCTGTAAAAAAAAAAATTATTGGGACAGTTGGCAACAACTTATTCTCAAGTGGTTCAGGGGAAATATCATATAAAAATTGATTCTTATTATTTGCTGTTGTTATATTCTATAAAGTCACCGCAAACACTGACTTAGCAAATACTGAATCACTGCTCCTAGAAGAAATACAGCATCATATTTCTGTGAGCCTGCAAAAACATTTTCATCAGTTGATCAACATATAATCTTGTTTTATGTGTACTTCTATTGAAAGATACTTTTATAGAGTGATCCATTAACATTGAACTCATGGCCAACAGCATGTTCATGCCTGAATTAAGCTTATATAAACACCCATATTTTCTCCACAAGGTACATCATAGCTTTCTTGTGTTTGGGAACACCAGACAGCACTGTAGCACTACGCTAGGGGGTGATTTTAAATAGTGAACAACAACAAAAAGCACAAATATGTGAAAAACGTGGTACTACGTAGACTGTGAAAAGGATACTTGTTGAGAGTACGAGTGCTGAAACAAGAAAGCAGATTACTTCCTTTGACTTCACCTGGGATCGTGTACATTGTGTGACTCAAATTTTTTGCCACTCTGCACATGTCCTCAAATGACTGCAAAAGCACAGAGAGAACTGATTTGGGGATTACAAATAAATTTTAGCAAGTAGATGAATTTGCAAATACAGAATCCATAAATAATGAAGACAATGAATAATGAGAATCAACTGTATATACATACACACATACATATATGTATATTGTATGAACACATTATATGTAGAGAGACGGAGAGAAGAAAGAGAATAAGACAAACACTGGGCTGGCCCGTGGCTCACTCGGTAGAGTGCGGTGCTGATAACACCAAGGCCGCGGGTTCGGATCCCATATAGGGATGGCCGGTTCGCTCACTGGCTGAGCATGGTGCTGACAACACCAAGCCAAGGGTTGAGATCCCCTTACCGGTCATCTTTTAAAAAAAAAAAAAAAAAGGACAAACATGATAAAATGTTAGAAATAGGAAAATGTGGGAGAAGGTAAGGTCTCTGTCCAATTTTTCAAATTTTAAGTTTGAAATTATTTCAAAATAAAGGGTTAACAAAAAATTAAATAAGGCTTTCAACCCACTCATCTCAAAACACACAAAAAGAGGCCCTAAAAGGTTAAAAGCCCATGAAATAGAGCTAATTAGTAGAAGGAGTGGTGTGATAATCATCTTTTGAAGCTCTGTTACAAAATCAAAAGCTAGTCAGCTCTCAACAGTGGGGGGGCCCCAAGCCTAAAGTCATCCCTGTTTCCACTGCTCTCTCCTTTCATCAGTCAGTCTCTCTGGGCTCCTCCTGACCAGCTAGAAATTACAGCAGCAGATGAACTATATACAGCCCTGGAAGTTTAAAGACCATAAAGATATTAACATTGGTGTAAGAGAGATAGCATCAGAAATCTGAGTTATTCTAACAAAAATCAACACCTAAAGGATGAGATCCCAAACTAAAACTACATTTGCCTGTTTATATATTGTCTATTTATATACTTATTTCTCCATTTACATAATGTAGTGTCTATCTCCCTTAACCTATCTGTAAACCTCATAATGACAGGGCCCATTTTTATTCACTAATATATACTCAGTCCCTAACACTCTGCCTGGCACATAGTAGGTACTCGATAAACATTTGCTGAATTATGGAAGGAAGGAAAGGCACGAGGATGAAAAAGACTAAAGAAATTAAAGATGAAACAGAAGCCACGTAAAAAACACAATGTCAGCACATCAAAAATCATGAAGAACAGGGAAGGAGCCTGGCTTAATTAAAGACATAGGAATACATACAATAACTATATTTTTTAAGAAATCAATGGGAAGAGTATGATAAGTCAAAAAATAGAGAAAAATGGAAGCGAAGGACAGAATTTGAAAATGTTCATCTATAAAGAGAAAAAAAGAAAAGAAAAAAGACAATGTTCATCCAAAAGTGCCTGGGGAAGGCATGCCCTGACCAATTCATTCAACTATTTATTTAGCAGGTATATCCCCATAGTGTATATTTGTTTATCCATTCAGTATCAAGGACCATCTACACACCCAGCAACAAAGCTGGGCCTGGGGACACAAAGACAAATATGTGTTTAATGTTATGTTGTCTTACAATGAGAAAACAAGATGTCAATAGCTTAAAGCAAGTACAGGACACTGACACACACATCCAATATCCACACTCCCTCTCTTCCACATAATAGAATATTTTGCTGAGCACATGACTGCTCAGAATGAAGACTATATTTCTGAAGCTCCCATGATATTAACTTCTGAAATTAAGATCTGACTAAGAGGATACAGATTGCATCACCAGGTGGCACCTTCCTATAATCTGCCTGAAGAGCCAGCCAAAGCACACTTTCTTTTTGTCCTCTATCCTGCTTCCTGGAATGTCTGTGACCTTGGACAAGGAGGATGAGGACCACACCTGAGAGATGGCAGAGTGGAGAGCTGGAAGGACTCAGGTACATGAGGACATAACTGTACAAAACCATCATAACTGCTCTGGGCCACTTATCTCCAGATCTCCTGTGTGTGAAAGGGAAATAATTTCTATCCTATTTAGCATCTGTTACTTCGATGTTCCAAACCTACTCCAAACTAACAGAGCAGGAAACAGTAACTGCAAATAGAGTATGGGGCATGGAGGGTTCAACC